AATCAGGAAACTGAACTTCAATAAGCACTTTATAGATAAAACTCCAACTGAGTTTATCATAAGCTTTTTCAAGGTCCAGTTTGATTGCCATTGTACCTTTCTTTCCTTTTACTCTCCCCATAGAATGAACCAGCTCCTTTGCTACTATAATATTATCCTGAAGCTGACGATTTGGCACGAAGCTAGCTTGGTAAGGAGAAACTAAATTCTTCATTGTAAGCTTAAGCCTATCCACAATGATCTTGCTCATACCCTTATAAATGACATTACACAAAGAAATAGGCCTGAATTGAGAAACATACATTGGCTTAGGAACTTTGGGGATCAAAGTGATCAGAGTACCGTTGACTTCCTCAATGCTGGAAGGGTTTTCTGCATAATACTTGATATCTCTCCAAATCTGTTCACCAATAAATTCCCAGTTCTTTTTGTAGAATGCCGTGGTATAGCCATCCTCCCCTGGAGCTTTTGAATCTTTCATAGAAAAGAAAGCTCGTCTGACTTCATCTTTTGAAATTGGAGCACCTAAGTTAACAGCAGTCTCATCGTCCACCTTTGGCCAAAGAGTCTGGACCCAAGGACGATCATGGTTTTCTTCAGAAAATAGTTTAGAGAAGTAAGCATTTATTACCCGTGCAATGTTGTGATCTTCTCTAATCAAGTTTCTAGCATCATCTTTCAACTCCAAGATCTTGCTCCTTCTACGTCTAACAATTATTTTCGTATGATAGTACTTTGTATTCCTATCTCCTTGAGCTATCCAAGTAGCACGAGACTTTTCAAACCACAAAAGTTCCTCCTGTTCTAAAACTTGTTCAAGTTCACCCCTTATCTTGCCTTCAATCTTTTCCAAATGGCTTTTATTCTGCTCAGAAATTGCCCTCTGGATACCTTCAAGCCTACCAATCAACCTGTTCTTCTTATGATGGATATTACCAAACACATCTTTATTCCACTGCTTAATAAGAGGAGTGAAATAACGAAGACTATCAACTGTTCTTTGATCCTGACGCCAGTTTTCCTTGATGAAATTGTTAAAAAATTGATGATCCAACCAAAAAGAATGAAAACGGAAAGGGCGTTCCACCCCATCAACTTTGCTTGGCTCTAAGGTAATAAGGATAGGATTATGGTCACTGTTAATACAAGGAAGCACTCGAACCTGGCCTTCATGAAACATCAACCTCCATTCAGCATTGCTACAAGCTCGATCTAAACGTTTAAAGACTCTATCTAAATGAAGAAATCTTGGTCCTCGCCATGTAAATTTAGAACCTATTCCTTCAAGATCAATCATCTTTATATCAGTTAGAAGAGAAGCAAATTTATTACATCTGCTAGTATCAACTGGAGCACCACCACGTTTCTCACTTGGAAAGGCAATTTCATTAAAATCACCTGCAATTAACCAAGGAACCGAGATATCTTCTGATAACTGAAGTAAATCATCCCAAAGTCTCTTCCGAATTTCTTCTCTAGGACTTGCATAGATAACAGTATAAAGAAAAGCTTGATGATCTGCCAATGTAACACGAACATGAATAAATTGATGGGTCTGTTTTAATGCTTGAACCTGACACCTATCATTATTCCATAGTAACCAAAGACCTCCCGTAAGTCCATGAGCATCCTCCACTATTGAATTATTAAAACCCAGCTTTTTTATTATCTGTTTTGCTTTTGAACCACTTACTCGAGGTTCAAGAATAGCTGCCACCTCAATCTTATGCCTTTGAACCATCATTTGAAACGTTGATTTGAAGCACTTTTTAGCCGCCCCGCGGCAATTCCATGTAACTAAAGACATTAATCATATCCATATTGAGGGTATTTTACACAGGTGAATTTTCATCTGTTATTTTTGACTGCTGACGCAGTAACATTCAGTAGAATAGCTTCAAGTGAGCAAATTATAGTTAGAGAGCTAATCTAACGATATAAACATCATGAATGAGGTTAGGATATGATTTGATGAAGATTGATACCCATATTTGGGTATTTTTGAAAAGTCACTTCTTTCGGGTATTTGGTACTACTGTAGAAGCAGCCGGTAGAATCCCGGAACGGAAAAAAGATGAAAAAATGGAAATAAAGTCCAATATATGCCTAACACATGTGTAACCGTCTATGGCTTGACCCTAGGGTTACACAAGGATGATATTATGATGCTATATTTAAGCTGTATGCCTGTATTATATGCTTTATATCTGACTTGTCATGCAGGAAGTGGGCTCAGGGGATTAGAGGATCCTCTATGAACCTTGAGCTTACTGAGATGTTGTTATCTCACCCCGTTTGGGGACATTATTTCAGGTACCCAGAGTTGTGGTGATGCTTCTAGGGGCAAAGCCCCCGCATTGGAGTAGTTGATGATGCAGCTGATTATTCTATATTATGTTTAGACTTCATGATGGCATGTAAATTTGTTAACATGCTTAATTATTGTTATTTGGAGATTATGTTATGTATTTATTTAGGCTTATGATTGTATCCTTATATAGAGCCATGGATTATTTACTGATGTTTTTATATTTTAGAATTAATATAGACTTGATGTATGCATTTAGTTAATTTGGGCATGGAGCCTTATTATTTGTATTGACGCGAGAGGGGATCGCAGTCCGTGTGGGACTTGCGAGCTGTCTGTTTAAATTATTATATTTATCAAGTCAACTGTATGTGTGGGACCCATGTTTCCAGTATCCGAAATACAGCCGTTATGCTATCCGTGAGACTCCGTCAGGAATGACTCTTGATGTTATATCCGGATGGTCAATGGCCACTAATACTGGCTAATGGGATTAACGAGTAGATGTATGTTTTAGATTTACGCTTTCGCAGTATCTCACGTGAATGTTTTTAGAAAGGTTTTCATAAAATGTTTTGGAAAAAGTTTATTCATATTTTCGTTAGATGAGTTATTATTCTTTTAAAATAAAGTCTTTCGCTGTGTACGCGAAGTATCATAATAATATCAACCGGAGTACTACGGGGTGTTACAGAATGAGCTTTAGGTTTCTTGGGCTCTTCTTACACACTAGGTCCTATTGGGCTTTAGTGAAAGAGCAAAACCCAACACATTTCCCCTTTTATGATGAGATGTATTATTTTTGCAGCACTTACTTGATAATATTAAAAGGTTTTAATATTTCTATAGTGAATGTAGATAAGTTATTTATATTCACTCCCAAAACGATGTCATTTTAGGTTGAAAGATTACAAAATTATAATGAGAAAGACTATTATAACCATGAAATAAATTATAAATACAAAAATACTTTAATTTCTGCCTTAAAACAATGTCGTTTTGAATTTAATGTAGATAACTTTTCTACATTGCTGCAGAATAAATGAACCAATCCATCTTAAAACCACAATAATGTTTTTTGTTAATCATATATACCAAGTAAAAGTTTGCAATGCATGTGTAACATAATAATAGAAAATAAACCCTTTTTTGCCGCTAATCACTGCACGTGGCATCCACCTAACTCAAATAACCTCAAACAAAATGTCTTTATACCATTTGATTGAAGTTGAGATTCTAAATGATTTCACTAGTTAGCACCTATATATGGCCCTTGAGTCAGTGCCTCAAATGGCCATGATTGCGCATTTCTTGGGAAATATGGTTACACTTTAAGTAGGTTTATATTGGAACAAATTAAAGTCATGGTCCTCCAACCCACGAGTTCATACCTATTGACATAGCCTTGAGATACAAGACATGATACATAATTGTACATGTAATAGAGTGAACGAATCCCAATGGAGAATGTAAAGTTTGGCATGTTACTAAAGCAAGACAAAGGGGGCAAAGTGGCATACTAGAGGGAGATATCTAGGGATACGCTCCTAGGAATATTGTATATATATAATATTCCAATAACGATTGGTGTAACTAATATTTTAAGTGCAGAAGAACAACATTGCTCACTGCAGGCCTTGAAAATGTGAAAGACAGGGGAATAAAAGGAGTAAGATATGAAAAACAAAGGAGGAAGTGAGATGGGAAGTATTCATGTATTTTAGTTTTGTATTCAAATTGGATGATCTTTTACTTTTGTTTCTACCCCTTTTCCTTTTTAGTGCTAAAGTGGAAGGAGACTGATGAAGATGTATTTGAAAGGATTTACATTAAAGAGTGTGTTTCGACATGGAGGAATATAGAGCTGTACCAAATTAAAGAACAACACCATCCTTCTGCTAAAATTAAGCTTCAGACTTGTATTTATTTTGTATCGTTTTAAATGTAAATTAAATATCAATTTTGTCAATTAAGTGTAATGTTACTTTTCTGTTCTTCTCTGACTATTCTAACAGTGTTATACGTAAAAGTATTAAAAGGTTCAGTCAAAAATTATAAAAAAAAAACAAAAAAAAGACAAAGTTCCCAGTAAAGAAATTATAAATTTAAAGTTCTTTCATATCCGTACCAAAATATATATTTCTTTTTCTCTCTCTTATTTCCCCCACAAATAATCCTTAACAATAATATTTTTTTTTATTGTTAATTTCTTTTCCTGATAGTCTGTATAGGGATCATGTATGTATGTGTAAAGAACAATTCTGTTAAAATTGAGAAGAAAAAAATATTATGAAAGATATTTCTGACATTTTTTTTTTGGTTTAGTTCAGAAATTTCTTATGCTGCATCCATCTGTACTTCACGTACTAAGTTACCCAAAGTCTTATATATATTAAAATTCGAAAAAACTTGCTATTCCAATCGCAACCAGGGTCTCATATGATCAAGTTTGAAGTAATTTTAAAATGAAGATGACAGTAGAGTGTATTTGGAATGATAATTACTTATTATTTGAGAATACAATTTAGTGGGGTGTCTAATTTCAAAAACAACAAAATTAAAATGAATTACAATACAAAATAGGTAGAAGAAACAAAAGTTTACAACACAAAATAGAGAACAACAAGAGATTTTAAGCAAATTTGGTAACTACAAAATATCGGGTGGCAATCTAGAACTAATTCACCGAAGATCACTTTGACATTACAAGCTTCTTAACAACCTGCTCCATGGTAGGGCGAGAGCGTGGGCTTTCATTCAAGCAACCAATTGCTATCCTTGCAATCGATAATACATCTATCACAATAGGATTCACTGGATGAGGGAGACGTTGATCCAACTTATCCATCAACGATATATTATCAATTTTTGAGGCCACAACAATCCATGAAGAAGACATGACATCACTAGGGTGCTTTCCAAAAAGTATTTCCAATGCTAATACTCCAAAACTGTACACATCACATTTCTCATTTACTTCCATTGTGTATGCAAGTTCTGCACCAAATTAAAAGAGTTATCATGTACAAAATAGGAATCCAGAAACAAAATTGATATTTGTAGAAAATAATTAACTAGTTATTTGAACAAATGACTACCAAAGACAAACTACAAAAATCATTGTATCCTTAATTAGTTCACGAAGAGAGGGAATTAACCTGGAGCAGCATATCCAAAGGTGCCTGCAAATGAGGTCCAGTTGGTTGAATTAGGATTGAGGAGCTTAGCCGTTCCGAAGTCAGAGACATGAGCCACATATTCCAAATCCAAAAGAACATTCTTGCTTGATATATCTCGATGAACAATTGGAGGCAAGCAGTCATGATGCATATAGCATAAAGCATTAGCTACGTCTTTAACCACATTCACCCTCCTATTCCAATCAAATGCAATAGCTTGTTCATCATTTTTCAAAGTCATCTCCACACTACCCTTCTCCAAGAACTCATAAACCAGAAATGAGTATCGTGAATGAGAACAAAACCCATATAGCTTGACAATGTTACGATGTCGAATTTCTGTCAAAGCTTGGATCTCACTTGTGAAAGCTTTTACATTGGATATTTCTTCATTTGGTGCTGGATGGAGTTTCTTCACAGCAACAACTTGACCAGTGGGCAACTCTGCTTTGTAAACACTTGCATTCCCTCCAACCCCAATAAGATGTTTGTTGTCAAATTCTTCTGTAGCTTCAATAATGTTCTCATACACCATTTTTCCATCAAAACTCCATATTGCAAATAGATTTTGAGCTTGTGATTCTGCAGCTTGGTTTTCTTTTGTGCTTGAAGATCGGCAGAGATGATACAAGACTCCCATAACAAATATTACAACCAATAGAATGCCCAAAGTAAGGGGTAGAACTACCCATATGACTTTGTTAGTGTTATGATGAGATATGCCACTTGATGAAGGGCAAGGCTTCAAGCTAGAGATGTTACCACACAAGCCACTATTATTTCTCAAAGCTTCAATTGTAGCGTTATGAAAGGCAGGGATGTTTGGAAGTGGACCCTCTAATTGGTTATATGATATATCAACAGATGTCAAGCTAAACATGTCACCGAAGCTGGTGGGAATTATACCAGAAAGACTATTGTGTGAGAGATTCAATATTTCTATGTATTTCAGTTGTCCAAGCACTGCTGGTATTGTTCCACCCAAAAAATTTGCACTAAGATCAAGACTTCGAAGAACTTTTAATTGCCTAAACTCATCAGGAATATGTCCCTTAAAATTATTTTGGCTCAAATTTAAGTTCAACAACTTAGACAGCATTCCAAGTTGCTCTATGATGAAGCCACATAAATTATTCCCTGCAAGCTCCAAGGTATCAAGTTCGTGCAATGATGTTATTTGCATGGGAACATTTTGTGAAAGATGATTGTTGCTTATCAAGAGTTTGATCAATGATGTCAGTTTACCTAACTCATTCGGAATTTTTCCCATGAGATGGTTTGAAGATAAGTCAAGTACATGTAAGTTGATTGCCTTGCCTAGTTCTGGTGGTATGACACCAGATAAGTTATTGTTGGAGATCTTGAGGCTTGTGAGGCTATAGCATTTTCCCCAATTTGGTGAAAGGTGACCATAAAAATTATTGTCACTCAATTCGATGTAGTCCAATTTTGGATATACGCCAAAATCATCTGTTATATTTCCAGTCAGCTGGTTTTGTTGAAGTCGAACTCTTATTAGGCTGGAGCAATTTTTCAAACTCTTAGGAACGTAACCAGTAAAATGGTTATTGAAAGCAGAAAAATTTGCCAACTTTCCACTAACGCAAATGTTATGAGGCAAATGACCAATAAAATGATTATTATGTAACTGCAATTTTTCCAAATTAGTGAGCCTGTTCATTTCTATTGGGATGTTCCCACTGAGTTCATTTGAGCCTAAGGAGAATACTTTGACCTTTGTCAAATTTTCAAAAGTGAAATGAATTGGTCCCGAGAGTTTGTTGTCAACAAGATCAACTGATTCCAAATCAGCCAAATTACCAATTGATGGTGGTATTGGCCCAATGAGTTCATTTGAGTATAAATATAATACCTTGACCTTGGTCAAATTTCCAATAGTGGAAGGAATTGGTCCTGAGAGTTTATTTTCAAAAAGTTCAACTGATTCCAAATTAGCCAAATTACCAATTGACGGTGGTATTGGCCCAGTGAGATCATTTGAGAATAAATATAACACACTAACTTTTGTCAAATTTCCAATCATGAAAGGAATTGGTCCAGAGAGTTTGTTTATAGCAAGTTTAATTGTTTCTAAATTAAACAAGTTACCAATAGTGGAAGGAATTGGTCCTGAGAGTTTGTTTGTGTGAAAGCTAACAATCTCCAAATTAATCAAGTTACCAATTGATGATGGTATTGGCCCAGTAAGGTCATTTGAGAATAAATTTAAATCACTGACCTTTGTCAAATTTCCAATAGTGGAAGGAATTGGTCTAGAGAGTTTATTTTCAGAAAGGTCAATTGTCTCCAAATTAACCAAATTACCAATTGAGTGTGGTATTGGTCCAGTGAGATCATTTGAGAACAAATATAACACACTAAGTTTTGTCAAATTTCCAATAGTGGAAGGAATTGGTCCAGAGAGTTTGTTTGCAGCAAGTCCAACTAATTCTAAGTTAACCAAGTTACCAATAGTGGAAGGAATTGGTCCTGAGAGTTTGTTTGTGTGAAAGCTAACAGTCTCCAAATTAATCAAGTTACCAATTGAGGATGGTATTGACCCAATAAGTTCATTTGAGAAAAAATTTAACCAAGTGACCTTTGTCAAATTTCCAATAGCAGAAGGAATTGTTCCAGAGAGATTATTGTCACTGAGATCAAGATAGGAGAGTTTGGACAATACCCCAATTTGGGGTGGAATACTTCCATTCAAGGAGTTGAGACTTATATCTATAGTGAGGATGTTTGGAAGTAAAGTGAAGTTGAGACATCGAAGCATACCTCTTAATCCAATATTTGTAAGATTAATGCTGGAGACAGACCTGGACACGTCACACTCAATTCCGAGCCAATTATTGCAAGGACTATTTCCGGTCCATGAAGATAGCAAAGCTTGGCTTTGGTTGTGAAGGCTGGCTTTCCATTTCAACAAAGCATTTGCTTCTCTGGAATGTAGTGTGGCTGAAGCAGCGACAACATCAGGAGAAAAGGCCATTAACATTGCACAAAAACACATTACAAGAAGCCCCCAAAATGGTATGAGTTTCATGGACTGAATAGTTGGACAAATGAACATAGTGGCGGGTATCGGGTGAATTCTTAATCACTGTTTGTCTAATGCAATCAGAGAGTGATATGAAATTCGTGGGATCTTTGCAGATACTTATATGCAGAAAGTCACTCCCTCAAGAACCAAAGTCAAGAAAACTAGTCATGAAGTCTGTATAGGTTTATGTATCTACAGTTATTTATGCTGCGTTTGAAAAGGTTTTTTTTTTAAATATTTTTATGGAGCCAAAGTCTTGTCCCACTAAGAACCAATAGTGGAATACAACAAAGACCAAGCCTTATCCCACTAAATGGGACCAGCCACATGGATCAGTTGATGCTATTGAGGTCTGTCAAATACCAAAATTTCATTAAAATCATTTATCATAACGACTGGACTATGTTTTTATAATGATATCAATTCTAGTATTGTGTTATGGCCTTCAGCTCCATGTTCAGATCATTCCACAAAAGCTTAATCTGAGCAAATTCAAAATATTTGGCAAGTATACATACTATCATAAAGAGAAGTTCCATATTCTCTTTTTGGACTTGATATATTACATCATGCATATTCTTTTTTTTTTTTCTTATGATTTATGCGCACCATATTTTGCTCCTGGAAGTTGTTTTACAATCGACTTGTAATACCAAACAAAATGTTAAACAATGGTTTTAACAACATTGCCAAGATGCAATGAGTACGAGGAACAGTGGTAGAACCGGTTCAAATTTGAGCCCGGATCAAAAAATTATGTGTATTTATTTTTCTTAATTTTAGTTAGTTCATATCATAATATATTTAAATTATATTAAATACAGAACATCTAAGCAAGCAACACTAAGAAGAGTTATAATATTATTAAATATTTTTTAATTTTACTAAAAATAATTTATTTTTTTTATACAAGCAAAAATTAGACACATAACCTAATACAACTTACTCAAATCTTTCGTCAAAAATATTTTAGATTTTACATAGGGCCAAATTATAAATTGTAATCGGGTCAAATTACAATTTTAATCCGGGCCAAATTATAATTAATTATATAATTATATATAATAAGTACAATTTATTAAAATTTAACCTAGGTCGAGGCCACACCCACGATACATGTGGCTGCGCCACTGAAGTGAGGAAGTGCTTTCCTCTTTTAGGGTTAAATGTTCTGGATTTATGGAAACCATGGTGTTGTGGCATGCCATTATTATCCTATGTTGGTATGAACTTATTTGGTTTTGAAGGTGGCATTAATTTGTCTTGATTTTTGCAGGTAGTCCGTCTTAGATATGGCAGTAAAACAAACAGTTGCATTCAGGGCTATCCTAGTTAGAGGCATAGCAGCATTGCTACCAAAGTGAGTGCAATTGTGACTGCCATGACAGCAGCAGCAACTGCAGCTATTACAGGGTCAAAACATGATTCTCAACAGTCTCCAAACTAATTATCTATATCTTTATTTTGAAAGTTGCTGATCAATTTTGGACCTGATTTTGATCGAAATTTTTTGACAAATTCTGTGTACCTTTTTGTTGTCTTTCTACTTATTAAATATGTATTGATTGCGGAACAAGAGTCAATAATATGGAAGATATATTAGAGAACATCTACCATAGCTTATGGAAAGCTCCTTTTGTTTGCATCTACCACTGATAATGATGCTGAGATATATGTTGATTTGCATCTCCAGCTTCAGCCACACTACTAGATAAATCCTGAGATGAAATGGGCTTCATATATTAGCCAGATGAAATTTATGGATGTCTAAAATAACTTTTTTGTAAATACGTGCATAAAATAATCATGTAATTTACTACAAACTAGTACATTTATAATTTATGAAAGAATGTCGAAGTGTTGTAATCAATCAGTGTGACTTGATATAAACATTGTTGTTGCGCCAATTAAATGATTTTGGCAAGGGCAACTTGGTGATTTACTCTACTAGAACCCATTCGAGCATACAGAAGAGAGGATGACCCTGTGAAGGGTAATTTTTTTGTTTTGTTATCATACAGACAACCGATTGGCCAATATAATTGACCAAAACATAGCTTTACCAGAAAGCTAAATAACTAGTATATCTTGGAAATAACTGCATCACTATTAATACGTAACCAATACAAATGATGACAAAAGAGGCTTATTGTGCAATCCCTTTTCAAAACTTGCAAGAATACAAGACATCCATTTTAATTCATTCGGGTAAGGTAATTTATGATTTCTGCAGCATTAGCAACTGTTGCCCCTGTAATGGCGTCTATGGTAATCCTGTCTTTCCTATTGTCGCCGTATGCAGATACTAGAGCCTCTATTATTGCACCTCAAATCATGGCATTCTTCTGCAGTAAATTCTCTGCACCTCCAACTTGATCTCTCATTATTACAAAGTGAAGTGTATTTTTGTAAGAAAAATAAAATAGTCATTATCTTTGTAATGCCCAGCGCCTTCAAGAATCAACGATTTTTCATTGTGCTTTTTCCTCACTCGCACACTTCTTAGGAAAACTTCACAGAAGTTTACCCATTTCAGAATTGCTCCAAGTCAAGCACGCTTAACTATGGAGTTCTTCCGTTTCGGGCTACCGAAAAGGCTACCGAAAAGTAGATGCATATAGGTAGTACCAATTAATTCTTATAAGCTATCTCAAACTGTGCAGTCTCATACCTGCACAGTCTTTGGAATCTCTCTCGGGTGTCGATATTCGATTCATTCATGCATGTAACCCCTCGCCCGCTGTCAAGAGCCGCTCTTTGTCCGTGCCTCTTTGCAACGGCGATCACTCTCTGCCCTCGTCAGCGCTCAGGATGTTACATGCCCACCAGCTTTCGCCTGGTTCGTCTTCGAACCACACCGTATTGGAAGAGAGGCCCTGCTCTTGTACCACTTGTAACGTCTGGCCGCTTAGAGAATCAATGACTATCTCCACATACTAACATGAGACTTTTCAGTGTGCGAGAGAGGAAAAAGTACACTAAAAAATCTTGTGTTAGTATGTGGATATTGATTCTTGAAGCGGCCAGACATTACAATATTAATTAGAAACTCTAACGCACTAGCACTGTTAATGAGGGATTTGGATGGAAAAAAGCATAACGAGATAAATTATTAGAGTAGCATTAATTTGTTAGGATCCTGATTGTAACTATCACGGTTTGTTACCTTGTATATTAAAATAGATTAGCTTGATTTATGCTTTCTGTTCCTTAGTTTTAGCTGATTTCCTGATGTAAATAGATTAGCTTGATTTATGCTTTCTGTTCCTTAAGTTTAGCTGATTTCCTGATGTAAATAGATTAGCTTGATTTATGCTTTCTGTTCCTTAAGTTTAGCTGATTTCCTGATGTAACCAATTGTAAATCTTGGTCTATATAATAGACCCAATTTAATATATCATCAAGCTGCGAATGACAGCAACTTCTGTTATGGTATCAAGAGCTTGACGATCAACAAGCCTTCATTTTTTTTTTTTCATCATGACTTCCGCACCTAAAACCTTCAAGGTTTCTGATTTTACACCAGAAGTTCTACAACATCTCATGTCCTTGGCTGTCTCTTCTGCCCCTCCAGTTGATAAACTTACGGGTAAGATTTTACACCCATCTTGGATCATCGACAGTGGTGCATCCCAACACATGACGGGCACACTCTCCTATCTATCCAATGTGCATTCTATTTCTCCTTGTTCTGTGGGACTGCCGAATGGAGTTCATGATATTGCTACGCAATGTGGCAGCATTACTTTGGGCTCTTCTCTTCATCTCTCCAATGTTCTTTATGTCCCTTCGTTGGCTTGTAATTTGATTTCTGTATCTCAGCTTCTGCGCCAGTCTTGCTTGGCATTGTTTGTTAATTCTGTTTGTTTGATACAGGACCTAAAGCAGAAGAGGACGATTGGAACGGGTGTTGAACGAGAAGGGGTGTATATATTGTGTGCATCATCAGCTTTTGCTCATGTTGCCAGTACGTCAGATTCTGCAGCACTATGGCATCGTCGTCTAGGACATCCATCTTCCCGTTATTTATCTTTGTTACCTTTTATTTCCAATGCAAATAATTTGGCTCCTTGTGACGTTTGTTGTAAAGCCAAACAACCACGAAGTCCTTTTCCTATTAATAATAAACGTTGTTTACATCCTTTTGATTTACTTCACTGTGATATATGGGGGCCATATCATATGGCATCTACAACTGGTGCCCGCTATTTTTTAACTGTAGTCGATGATTTTAGTAGACATGTTTGGATTTTTTTGATGCGCAATAAAACTGAAACTTCCACATGTTTACTTCGGTTTCTCCACTTGGTTCGCACCCAATATGATGCATCTGTTAAGCGAATTCAGAGTGATAATGGGACTGAATTTTTGTCATCTGTAGTCCAAGAGGCTCTCTCATCCTACGGTATTCATCATCAATTATCATGCACTTACACCCCACAGCAAAATGGACGCGTTGAACGTCGTCATCGTCACATCCTCAACGTGGCTCGTGCTTTGCGTTTTGATGGTCACTTACCTATATCTCTTTGGGGAGAATGCATCTTGACCGCTGCTCACCTCATCAACAGGACACCGACTCCACTCCTTGGTGGTCAGTGTCCCTATGAAGTTTTGCATGGCACTCCACCAAAGTATGATCACTTACGGTTCTTTGGGAGTTTATGTTACACTACTGTTTTACCCAAACCACATGACAAGTTCGCTCCTCGCTCCCGTAAGTGTGTGTTTGTTGGCTACCCTTTCAACAAAAAAGGATGGAAGGTCATGGATATCTCCACTCATGAAATATTTGTTTCTCGTGATGTTTTATTTCATGAAACTATTTTTCCATTGGCTGCAACTTCATCTGCACCTTCTGTCCATGTACCGTCACCACAAGCTGTCTTCACCGATTATGATGTGGCACCTGTTACTGCTATTGATACTCCCACAGCGGAGCTTGATGACAGGGGGAGTTCGTCCTCCCCAGTTCCGGGTTCTATTACTTCATCCACGGATGTCCCTGGTTCACCGGTTCCGTTGACAGA